AGATACCAACAGTAGATACATGATTTGATTTTACGCTGAAAAAAAATCATATTGAATTTGTCTGTTGTGTTTTTCGTGATCTTATTATCTGAATTTTCGTCACCTCCAGACTCAGCCTCTCTTCGAGCTCCGTTGCTCCAACAACGTGGTCCACCTGCACACCTGTGCCGATTCCTGTGCCGCCCTCGTCAATCTGCTGCAGTACCTGGTCGCCCAGGGGGACCTGCACCCCCCGCTGCGACACGCCTCACCCACTGAGATCGCTGGCCAGAAACTACCAGTAAGGAATGCGTTTGCGTTGGAGAATAAATATGATAAATGGATAAGAATTTTAAATAGATTTTGTGCTCGATGTTTGTCACCTGTACTTCAACTCAGAGAGCAGTATTTCATGAATGTTGACAAGTCCTATAAAAAGGCCATGAAGTTAAAGTCTGTGTGATCTTCTGTCTTGTCAGCTGTCGGAGAGTCCTGCCTTTGTGCTGCCCTGCCCTCCAGCTGAAACCGCTGAGATCAACCAGTACGATCTGGCTGATGCCTTAATAGACACAGAAAAGAGCCACAGAGAAGACAGTTCAGATCCAGGTACTGCATTGTTTCTCACCTTTTTCGCTTCACTTTTCAGGATACAGTTCACTACAATAGAACTTTTTTGAGTCTTGACAGATAGTGTGTATTGTCACTTTTTGACTGAATAACCTGAGTTTAAGAAAAACCCTACCTCCTGGTTTCCCAGATTGTTCTTTATTAACACAATTTATACATTGTCAACACTTCATCAGGCAAAATTAATACAAACAGCACAATGAATGTTCTTCATATGTAAAAATAAATGCATTTCTTAGAATAGTTAACATACATTATGAAATAGTCACATATTACACAATGTAGCCTATAGACCTTTTATAACTTTACATGTATGTTGTGTTTAAGTGATGCACAGTGATTGAGCTGTTTTACTTTTCTTTTCAAACCACTACAACACAACCACAGCTCTTTGCATAATATTGGACTTTGTTGGAATTTGCAGGCTCTCCCTCAATGCGGAGAGGCTCACCTGTCTCGGTTTACCTTTTCCCTGGTGAAGCCTCGAAGCACGGCCCCTCTGTCCTGCAGGGGGAGGACTCTGAGCTTGATGGAATGGTTGCTACAGCAACAGAGGCTCAGGTAGATATGATGTCAGATGAAGGCTCAGATGGCTCCACAGACAACGACGACTTCTGCATCCTGGAGGCTCCTGGCATGGGCATTCCTGTGAGTCTCAACTAACTTTTATTTTTTTCTTTTGTTTTATAAACTCATAGCATGACATATAATTTATTTTACTTTTACCTGTCCTTGCAGCCCAGGGATGGGGAGCCCGTGGTGACGGTGCTAGCCCAGGGGCCCGTCAGGGTGAAGGACAGTCACTTCTCGAGGCCTCGTGGCAGCTCCGATCTGCTCCGAGCCCCCAGTCGCTTTCCGGTGCCCCAGAGCAGGGTGGTGCTGCGGGAGATCTCTGTGGTCTGGCATCTATACGGGGGGAAAGACTTCGGCAGCAAGCCCATGTCTATACATGCCCAGCAGGCAAACAGGTAACTCACACACACAGATACATGAAGGTAGATTTACTTTTATATAACTTATTATACGAGGTACAAACTTTTTTTTCTCCCTCCAGAGGGCGTTCGGCCCCTGCTGGTGTTCGTGGGTCCCCCTCTCGCTCCGTTGCTTCCTCTCGTCCCCAGAACTCCTGGCGGTGGGCGGGAGGCAGCGGCCGTCAGCACACGCTCCTGATGGAGATCCAGCTCACCAAGGTACAGTTTTAACTCTGATGTTTAAAAAAATAATGTATTGTACTTGATTCTTGCTGTTCTGGGTTTGAACCCTCATGGTGGAATGCACTTATTGTAAGTCGCTTTGGATGAAAGCATCAGCTAAATGATATGTAATGTAATGTAATGTTAGAATGAAGGAACCCTTAGTCAGGTGCTACATTTACTTTAAGTACAATTCTGAGGAGCATGTTAATTACTTCCATTTTATTTGAACTCATACTTTGAACTTCGCTAAATAAAAAAATGAAAATGTAGTACTATTTTTTCTATTTGTATCACTTTACCTATTAGACGTTTTTAATGCAATTTTACAAAACAGTACCTCTTCTGGCTTTGTCCTCCAGGTGTCCTTCCAGCATGAGTCCTATCCACTGGCAGTAGCAGGGCAGGATGGGGAGGGGTCAGTGGCAGCCATGATCGCAGCCGGTCCTGTCATCGAGCAGCCCCTCTCCAGACAGGTGTTCATCGTCCAGGAGCTGGAAGTTCGAGACCGACTGGCCTCCTCACAAATCAACAAATTCCTCTACCTCTACACCAGCGAGAGCATGCCCCGCCGAGCCCACTCCAACATGGTGAGACCACACAGACAACGGGGAGGGCGAGGCAGGCAGACGGAGGGAGTGTGTGATTTATAAAAACTGACATGACAGACGTGATGAGGTTTCTGTGATTGGAATTAACTGGGAGTGAACCAACCTGATGCAGCTTAGAGGATTCTTGTTCAGGGAGGGAGGGAGAACTGAATTGAAATCTGTCAGCAGCCTTGTACTTTTATTAAGTATTGATTATGTGATATGCAATAAAAGATATTGATTGTGTGTTTTCTTTTCATAGCTGACAGTGAAGGCCCTGCAGGTGTGTCCAGAGTCTGGCCTTGGTGGTCCAGAGTGCTGTCTTCGGGTCAGTCTGCTGCCACTACGACTGAACATCGATCAGGTAACTCCAGTACCTGAAACTGAATGTTGACAGCACTGTGTCATCTTCTGGATCCAAACCGAGTCTCGGAGTAATGATGCTTGAATGTGCCTGAGTAGAGCCCTTCAGATCTGCACTGAAATTATAATAAAGTTCTTCTACATATGACATAAATGTTTTTGGGGTTTTGATGAGTTGGTACCATTTAATGTGACAGGGCTCCTCATCTAACCAGCCTGTTTTTTTTTTCTTTCCCTGTCCAGGATGCACTTTTCTTCCTTAAGGACTTTTTCAGTAATCTAGCTTCATATGTTAACCCTTACCTGCCTGTGGACCCTGCAACTGAAGGTTAGCTTGAAACAAGTTCTTTGTTATAAATTTTTCCAAAAAGATTCATCATGCAGGCTTTGCTATGCTGCTTTTTATGAAATTATAAATTGAAGTACTATGTATTCATGCAAAACATAAATATTTAAATATGTATGCAAATATGTATTTGTCTTTTTCAGTGAAGGCAGACCCGTCCCAGAAGTTGTCTGAGGAGGCAGAGGCAGCTCCTGGTCTGGGACCTGACCTTACAGCATCTGTTGAAACCACCTACAGTGAGCAGAGCTCCTCCTCTGCAGGCTCCACTTCCTCCTCTGACCAGCCAATCTACTTCCGGTATGTAGACACTGATCCACCAGGAGACACGATCACAGGAGAAAGAGGATTGTTAGACTCAACCAGTTCAAATGTGTCAAATCTGTAAACTGAAGGGTAATAACGAAGAACATGGCTTCACTCTGCCAGCTTGTCTACGATTAAGTTAAATTAATGATGAATAATTTTTCTATTACTCCTTTTGTTCAGGGAGTTTCGTTTCACCTCTGAAGTGCCTATCTGGCTGGATTATCATGGCAAACACGTTGTCATTGAACAGGTGAGACTCTTGATCTTTCAGCTGTTGTGAGCCTCAGCTTATTGTAAAGAAATCTGTAGGATTCATCTGCATTGATCAGGAAATAATTTTCCCTGTTATGAACTCTTCTGTTCTGCTCTTCTCTATCACAGGGAACGTTTGCAGGGATCCTGATTGGCCTGGCTCAGTTAAACTGTTCAGAGCTGAAGCTGAAGAGGCTCTGCTGCAGACATGGGTATGAATACACACCTCTCTGCCAAAACAAACCTCTTCTTTGTTGTCCTATGACAGTGTCTCTCTAATTTGCAACTGACCCAAATCTGTTCCCAAGTGTCTTTGGGTGTAAGTGTCTTTGTCTTTCTTCTGCAACCAATTCTAGTCTCCTTGGTGTCGACAAAGTGATCCAGTACGCCGTTACAGAGTGGCTGACAGACATCAGGAAGAACCAGCTGCCAGGACTTCTGGGAGGTGTTGGCCCTATGCACTCAGTTGTCCAGCTTTGTGAGTTAAAACTGCTTTGTCTTAAAGCACATCATCAGCTTAACATTTACTTGTTCTTTATCCTGTTTCATCTACTCGTTTTTATCCCCTCTTCTCCATCTCTCTGTGTTTCTCCAGTCCACGGAGTGAGGGATCTGTTCTGGTTGCCCATAGAGCAGTACAGGAAAGATGGACGCATTATCCGAGGTCTCCAGAGGGGTGCAGCATCCTTTGGTACCTCAACAGCATCAGCCGCTCTGGAGCTCAGCAATAGACTGGTGCAGGCCATACAGGTACTTGGTCTGTACAGACAAGAGAGCAGTGACTGTGAATTAAGCAAAGTAACCCAGTGATGATATAAGATGGTGTGTTTAATTGTGTAAATAATGTGTAAATATTTTAGCCTCAAGTATTTTTTTTATATAAGTAGTTTAAAATAATACATTAGTCACAGAGTTTTTACACTCTATATCACATAATCTTATTAGATTAATCTACTAGATTAAAATTAATTAGTGGTTTCTGTCTGCTCATTCTCAAAGGCCACCGCAGAGACGGTTTACGACATCCTTTCGCCAACACCACCTCTGAATCGCTTCGCCATCACTGAGGGCCGAGCCCCCTCCAGCCGACCTCGCAGAGCCGCCCAGCCTGCTGACCTCAGAGAGGGTGTGGCCAAAGCCTATGACACAGTCAGAGAGGTATGTCCCCTTCATCAGTAACTGTGTTGTTGACTCCCTGCAGTAATCTGATTTTAGGTGAAGCTCAGTGTAAATAATCAGGGTGGAAAATCCGGCCGTATATTTGACCAAATTTCCAACTCGTTCCTTCTCTTTGCTCCTCCAGGGAGTGATTGACACGGCTCAGACTCTGTGCGATGTAGCATCCCGCGGCCACGAACAAAAGGGTCTGCCTGGTGCTGTGGGCGGTGTCCTGCGGCAGATCCCACCCACTGTGGTTCGACCTTTGATAGTGGCGTCCGAAGCCACCTCCAATCTGCTCGGTGGCATGAGGAACCAGATAAAACCAGACGCCCGAAAGGAGGATTTCCTGAAGTGGCGCACGGAGGATGGTCAAGAATGATGGCGGCTTTTTGTTTATGTGTGAGAGAGAATGACTGTGTGTATGTGTGCACATGTGTGAGAGAGATTATTGAAATTATGATTTAGGAAAGTCTGATCGAAAAGAGTGAATCCAGAGTTTGAATGTGTATTTGCATGTGTGTATGGTCTAAAGAGAATCAGCCTGTGCTCCAATGCAAAAACAAAGCAAAGACTAATTACTACTGCAGTTACTAACAGCCAGTGTTGTATGTGGCTCCATCATACATGGACACAGCAGATTTAATTGTTGGCTCTCCTCATATCCCTCCTCTCAGTTATACACTAGTCTGCAGATGTTCCTTTGCAAACATATCACCGTCACACTGATTTTCAATCCAACAAAGGGCAGGAAGGATCATCACTCTCAAGGTTTGTATTGCTTGTAAGGAAGACACTGATGGAGGGCACTTCAAGTGCTTTAAACTCTTTATATTCTGATTAAAAGTAGTGGCACAACTTTACCTTCCTCCCGTGGAAGCAGAATAGTTTCATGGGCATCAAAACTCCAGCAGCATTTGTGAAGCTCGTAGCAGAGACAGAGAGGAAAGAGTCAAGGAATTGCCTTTTTCTAACACGCTCCAGATGTTGGCAGATGGTTTTCACCCTGACTTCACAACACCACACCGTGTGACTGGTACAGCTTCAGCCCCACTACGCACCCACTTCTCTCAGTGCTGTTATTTGTGCCATAAACCTTGCAGAGTGCCCTTTTTGATGAGTTTGTTTTGCCTTCCTCAATCCTGTTCTTTCCCTTTCACACATATACTGATACACACCTGACTGAACAAAATCACCTGATCACATGAAGTATCTAAACTCTGTAGTGCATTGGATTTTGTTAAAACTTCTCAAAGTCAAGTTGGACTTAAGTTGTTAATTGTTTTACAAAGTGATGCCAGTCGAAGTCCCTGCATTACAGCTCGTTTGTGCTTGTTTCCATGAGGAGTTTAGAGCCTGGGGCCCTGAATAAACCGACAGTAACTGCTTTGCCCACTTCTTTAGATGCCTTCCTGCATTTTTTCTCTATGTGTTTTTTATTTTGTCAAAATATAAGTATTGTCGTACTCATTTTCAAAATAAGAGTTGAAAGGATGTGAATCTGGTGACTATGGAGGAAGAAGAATTAGGGGTTTTGTGATTTAAAAAAAAAAAGTTTTACATTTTTATCGTTTTTGTTATTTAGCGTAAGGGATATGTGCGTGTGTGTATGTGTGTGTTTAAGTGCGCGCATGATGCATGTCTGTGATGGTGACAGGCTGAAGCCTGTTACGTCTCTTGTGTGTAATTACTATTTACTATATCATAAACTGTATGAATGACCTGTATAATACAAAGACAAGGAGTAGACAAAATTAATACAAAAAATAAAAAATTTGAGTATAAAAATGAACATCACGTCTTTGTCTGCTAACTAACACAATCGAGCATATTTTGTCATTGTAGGTGGTGGAATTTAGCAAAACACACCAACTAAAACACTGTTTAAATATGCCCTTCTACTTAACTTGAGTATTTCAAGCGAGTATTATGTTACTTCAAACTTCTACACTTCATTTCAAAAGCAGATGTTTTTTTTACTTCATACATTTATTTAAGAGCTATAGTTCTAAATGTTTTAGGAAGTTATCTATTAAAAATACATAAATGATTATTGACTAATAAGATACAATCCATCATTTAATGTAAAATACAAAAAAAGTCATGTATGGTATAATAGCCAGCACTGGGTTACACTGTTATAAGTTCCCTGTGAAAGATTTTGCTTGTGCACCTTGTAGTTTAATTGAAAACCACATTACTACTCTACAAGACAGGGGCTCAGATAATAATAATAATAATAATAATAATAATAATAATATTGACACCTCTTCAATTAAGAACCCCTCAGAAAATCTAATTATAACAGATCTCTGTTCAACGTTAATACATTTTAGCTATAAACTACATCCACCAATATCATATACTAAATCAAATATGTAATTCTTGATTACTGGTTAATGTTAATATTACTTAACATGCTGTAACAATATATATCATTGGTCCAGACTGGATTTCAGAGTTAACTCAATTTAATCATTTATTTACATTTATTAAACTCCAGAAGTGACCTAGGAACTAACAGCGCTGAAGCCAAGGTCCCGGGGAACCTTTTCTGTGACGCAACTCTTCCGGTCCACATGTAAACGCCGCAGCGTGAATCGAAAAGCCTCAGAGTGTGTGTGTGTGTGTTGGTAGGAAATAAATCCTCATTGTGTTTAAACATGAAGCTGCTCACACACAACATGCTGACGTCTCACGTGAAGGGGGTCACTAAAGGATACCCGCTGCTCATCAAGGTAACTCCTCACATCTGCTTAGCATCGCTGCTAACGATGCTAACACTGTAACAACACATCCCATTAGCTTCACGCGGCGTGTTGTATCTTCAGCAGGGAGCTGGACTGCTGTCATCATGAGGCACGAGTGATTGAGCTGCATCAGGATCTGACAGAGGACACATGTACAGTGTTATTACATCGAACTGGGCAGTTTATTGTTATTCCTTTGATAACTCTACTTTAATTCCATCTGACAGATGTTTATATTGTTCAGTTTCGTTTGACATGTGCAAATGAAATACTGAAGTCATAGTGACAAGTCTTATTTGGATGTACTTCACTATTTACAAAACAAACAAATAATAATGACTTATAATAATTAAAACATCTAGGGCAGAGAAATTAAAGCACATATGTGTTAGATTTTACAGGTGTACCTAATAAAGTGACCATTGAGTTTATATCCTGCTAAACTGCCCATCTTGTGTTTCGTGAATCTCAAACTAACCAAATAAAATCACAGGTTTAAACAATAATCCACATTTTACATATACTAAATTAATTGAGCATGATTTTTTGTCTGTCCTTTTTACACGCAAGAGGAAATAATAATATTGAATACATATCTAAATTAAAACCTCTTCTGAAAGTGTTGACAAAAAGTGTCACATTGAATCAGTCACATGGAAAAGGTAGGTAGGTGTAAGTGCACTGAGTGTGTTAAAGGTTTTACAGGGATGCTCCAGTAGTTTGTTATTGTATCTTTCAGTAAAGATCAGGCTCTTAACCTCACACAGTCCTCCTGGTGGCAGGGGTTTCTGTTTGATGGCTTCTCCCCTGCAGCCGTACACACAGATATAGCCGTAGATGTAGACATTTTTCAAACCTCGTTTGTTTACATAAATGTCTGAGGACTGGCTGCTGTTTTACGACTGCGTGTTAATGCTCACAAGTTGTTTTGTCTGTCTGGTTGTTTTTGTGTGAAGGCAACTGAGGTGAAGGTGAATGAGGTGGAGTTCAACCCTCAGTTCGTCACCCGGATGATTCCCAAACTGGAGTGGAGCGCTCTGGTCCAGGCTGCAGAGGAGGTGAGTCCGTCCATGCTTTTGAATTTTAGTCACTGTCAGTCTTCATAGGACAAGACTTATCTGTGTTTCATCAGCACTTATGTGTTTGATCATAGGAGAAATGTTTACGAGACGTCTGCCCACGGCCACACAGGCTTCATGTTGAATCTAAGAATAAAGCAGACTGCTCTGTAGTAGACAAAACGAAAACCAAAAAATCTGACAACAAACATCCACTACTCATCACTGAGATTCTGGGTTTTGGATCACTGCAGTCCTTTTTCCCCATCAGAGATATTGACTTTGTATTTTTAAATCAAATATTCCAGCCAGTAACTTCCACTCGTGAGGCTCATGTTCATCGATGAGTTTGCACCAGTTTGAGTTCTCACTGCTGTTTGTTCCTCTCTATAGCTGGGTCATCGGCAAGACCTGCCGGGTGAGCTGGTGTCAGAGTACGAGAAAGATGAAGAGTTCCTGAAGAAAGTGCACAGAGCGCTGTTAGAGGTAAAAGTTCAGTCATCAACAATCTGCCCTTTGTTATATCAATAATTCATTTTCTTTTTCAAAATGTCCAGAAATAATGAAAAATGTCGCTCACATTGTCCCAGTGACTTTTATGATGCCATCAAATGTCTTATTTTGTGTTTAAGAATCTAATATAAAAGATATTGAGTTTCCTGTGATAGAAAACAGAGACGATCAGGAAGAAGCTGGAACTTTTACAGTTTTGCTTAAAAATGACTTGAACATTGGCAGAAAAGAACCAAGTAACTTTAAATGTACATCTGTACTTCTTTACAAAGAGCTCTTTTTCTAATTTAATGTTACAAATAGTTTTTGCTCTTTGATTTTTAATTTTTGTCAAACCAACTCAAAGACAATCTTTTCATTATTGATGTGTGTTTCTTATCCTTGTTTCCCTAAGTATGCTCATAATGTGATATCTATGTGTTGGACACTTTTTGTATAAAACTAAAACAGCTTAAAATATGAATTCTCACATGGAAGCATACAAAGGTACTTGTTTCTATATCCGGCAACAACAATTAACATCTAAGCTTAAATTAAAATTAAAGGTGACCTGTGGAATATGATTGCAAACAAACATAATGTTCATGCTAAATATTTCCACATCATGCTGAATACTGAAAAGGTGCTCAAGTAACCTGTCCATTGTTACCATAGTTACTTAAAATGTACTTTAATAGAAAACCAATATATTGTAGTTGTTGTGATCGTGAGGATGAGTGAAACTGCACCAAGACAATAACTGCAAAAAAAGTAGGATTTTAGTTTATAGAATTATTATTAAACCCGACCCAGGGTTTGGAAACCACTGGTCATAAATATAATCACAAGCTGGAGCAATAAAATCTCCCTTAACTGGAACCAAGGGGCCGAGGCCAAACCAAACAAACCAGAACCAAACCAAAAGTATGACAACAGGAGTGTCCATATACTTTTGGCTGTATGTGTATTTTTGCACTATGATGACATCTAGTGGTGGCCTCATATTGTTGACTGTGTGTGTGTGAGACAGGTGGAGGTGATCGAGGGCTGTCTCCAGTGTCCCGAGTCAGGACGAGAGTTCCCCATCTCCAGAGGAATCCCCAACATGCTGCTGAATGAAGACGAGGCGTAAACACCCACTCAACATTTCCTGTTACACAACCTCACCCATAACTGTCACTCAGATGGGATTGTGGGTATTCAGAAGGAGAGAGAGAGAGAAGAGAAATGTCTGACTCTGGTTTGAGTTGGTGCACAGCACTGTTTGGTTCATTGTAGTTTTGACATTTAAGTGGCCAATTCTATCAATGGAGGGAGAAGATTGGAAAAGTAACAAATGGAAATGATTCCCTGAGAGAAACCCCCAGTGGTTTTATCTGTATTTATTTTTGTAACTGTTCACTCTTTCATTTTCAATAAAACTGTCCTTATTTCCATGACAGCCAAAAGTCTCGAAGGTTTTTGTGGAAAATATGGATTCAGTTATATTACAGACATGCTCAAGTAAAACTCCACTTGTGTGTGTCTGTTTGTGTGTGTGTGTGTGTGTGTGTGTGTGTGTGGACTGAGGCTCTGAACCCCAACTCGCCCTCTCAGTTTCTGAAAGTGCTGAGGACCAGATGACGTGGCAGTGGCTGCTCTATATTTGGTTCTGCGTTAAAGAGGAAGAAAAGGAAGGCAGGCAAGAAGTTGTTTTTGAGGAAGTCTTTCTTTCTTTTTTTTCTTCTCAGCCACACATTAAAACAGACACATACATATATCAGCCCACCTGGGTGGGCTCCTGCCAGGACCCCACAGTGTGTCTGACCTTTTTAAAGAGAATTTTTAAAAGAAAGAGATGAGGTCCACAGAAACAAATGAAGTGTCTTGTTTTCACTTAGACGTTGCAGCGCTCGTGTTGAAACAGGAGCACGTTTGTTCTCAGGCAGTGTTATATTTTAGAAACGCTGCCAGGACAGATGATGAAGGAGGGGGTTCGCCCTGACCAGAAGCCTCGAGGCAGCCTGAGTCTCTCCTACCTTTCCCTTCTACTTACAGCAATTACAGGCCTGTGCCCGCAACTATAATAACGGTATAATGGGATGGCAGCAGAGCAGCAATAAAAACCACCCCTGACAGATTAACAGTCCTCTCCGAGTCCTCAACTGTAATTAACAATGAGACCCAAGAGGAAGAGAGAGGGAAGAAAGGAGCTAGATTGAAAGGCTGAAAAGATAAAGATAAAAAGGGATGGGCTCTCTGTGGAGGATTTTAATAAAATTCAGATAAGCCTTTAAGTGTCGGCATGAATGGGTTTAAACTTGAAATCACACTGAGAGTCAGACTAAAGCTGCATTTTGAAATCAGTGGCTTTGAGTAATGCATCACATTTCTCAATCTTCCACTTCAACTTTGTCTGTTGACAGCACTGCACTGATCAGAGTCTGAGAGATTAATCTAACGAAAAGCTTGAGTAAGTATCTGAATATAAATAGTCACCACAGGGGGCGTTGTTGCCACATTCATGTATTTGATCGAGAAAGATTCTGGTGTTTACGCTCACACCTTCTGACACCTCACGTCAGTTTGCTGTGATCACAGAGACGCTCGTGTGAGAGATAAACAAATTGTGTGCAGACAATTAAAAGCTGCATTCACACAAATGTCAGAGGAATAGAAAGAAATGGAAAAACACTGGATAACACAGTGTTAATGCATATTTCTGAGGTAGTTAGCCTGAGTGCTAAGTCTGCTAACTGTGTAGGAATACAGTCTAACAAGTGAAACCAGATACAAGTCTACAGCTCTCAATAAAATGAATTGTCTAGATTAGTGTTATTATTTATTTTGTGACTTCCAGTAGTGATGTGTTCACAGCCATCCTTCCACCAAATGTTTGACTCATCTGTAGTTCTTTTCAAAGTGTAAGATGTTGTCAGTGCCAAAAGTGATTTAGAAAAAAGCCCCCCATTGGCTGCAGGTTAATATAATTTAGACAATAGGACAACTCCTCTCAACTAAGCAAAAATACAATA